TTCTCCTGTGCACATTTTTATTTCTTAACAAATATGGGATTGTACAGATATGCAGATCTATGACCTATTATTTGAAATAACTATGTACAAATATTTCTCTATACTCGAATATTTATCTATCTATAATTTTGAGAGACTAATTAGGATTCCAGTGTATGGAAGTATTATAATTTATTTGCCCAACCATTTACTTTAAAATATTTAGGTCACTCAGAGGGGAGGGTGTAGCCCAGTGGTAGAGTGTGTGCTTTGCATGCAGGAGGTCCTGGGTTTAATCCTCAGTACCTCCATTAAAAAAAAAATAACAAAAGAATTTGAAATAAACAAATAAACATTAAGATTGCTTATATTTAACACTGTCATAAGCAACATTCTGCATGTATATTAGATGACTGGATATTTTTCCTGAAGTTACATTATTTAACCATGCTGCATATTTTTAAGAGTTTGATACACATTCCTAAATTGCCCTTGACAACCTTTGCCAACCTCCACTACAACCAGCAAGGTGTGAGAGGGCCTATTTCGCCACCAGCCCTGACAACACGGGATGGTGTCATTCTTCTAAATCTTTGTTAAACTGATCGGCAACAATGATACGTTCTCTTTACTTGAATTTTTTTTCTCTTTTTTCTATTGGCAGGGTAGAGGTAATGAGGTTTATTTCTTTTTATTATTTTTAATGGAGGTACTGGAGATTGAACCCAGAACCTCATGCGTGCTAAGCACATGCTCTACCCCTGAGCTACACCCTCCCCCTATTTGCATTTCTTTGATTAGTAGTAAGATTAGATATTTTTAGGTATTTATCTTGCCTTCACAATTAACTCGAGCAGGGCAAACATTTCAGATGCATTTTTTAAGCATCTATATGTCCTAACCCCACGTGAAATTTAGCAGGTTGGCCACCCTTCGGGCTAGACGCGTTCTTTAAGAAGATCCCTAGTGTGCATCAGCTGATAGGTGGAGATCAGGGGCTGAGTAAAAGCCACAAGATTAGGCTTCCTGTCAGTGAAGATAATATTTTTCCACAGTCTGCCTGTCGACTGAAAAAAACTGCATAACATATAAGTTGAGAGTTATGTTTTATTTGGTGGATATTCTAAGGACTTCAAGCCCGGGAGACAGCATCTCAGTAGCTCCGAGGGACTGCTCTGAAGAGGCGGGGGAGAAGCAGGGATAAGTAAGAGTTTTTGCAACAAAGACCAGATAATAGGAACGTCAAAAGATTGCTGTTAATGAAGGGAAACCAGATATCTCAAGTTCAGGAATTTAGCCCTTTTCTGTGTATGGGAAGACGAAAGAGTCTGGGCTCATTAAAATCATTCCTTTGATATCCACCTCAGCTGTCTAGGACCAGAATCCTGTTCTTCCCATCCTGAGTCTCTGCAGGGGGCACCGCTAGGGGCAGCTGCAGAGGCTGAGGGCTTGGCAGCAGGTGGCCTGCTTGTCTCCAAGCTGAGTTCCCTCCAGCTCACCTTTGGGGCGGTGGTACAGGCTGGTGGCTCATGTCTGCAGCATCCTTTGTTTACTGAGACGGCAGGCAATAGTTTTTGTTTGTTTGTTTGTTTTTGTGGAGGAGGAGAGGGAGTAATAATTAGGTTTATTTATTTGTAGAGGAGATAGTGGGGATTGAACCCAGGACGTGATGCACGTTAAGCATGCGCTCTACCACTTGAGCTATACCCTCCCCTAGGCAAGTTTTCATTCACACGCCAAGGGCACCTGAACTCATGGGTGCCATTCTGCTTCTTCACCTTCTTTTCTATTTCACTGTCCTTTCCTTTTCCTTTTAGCCTCCCTATGTTCTAGCCTTCTAAATTACACTCCCTGCCTCCATCTCCCCACTGATCTTAAAAGGGAGTTCATGATGACTTTAAATGCATTTGGAGACTTAGCAGTCGGTATTAATAATTTGCTTGACTCCTCTGCCAACTCAGTTCTTTTTAAGAACATACTAATAGGAGATGCCCCCAGTCATAATGAATGTTATCGTAATTAACGTAACAGGTTCTCAGACAGTGCCCATCTCCCACCCACCCCACCTCCCCGCATCGGGATCAGTGTCCCCTGGAAACATGCTAGATTACCAGGCTTCACCCCAGACCTACTACATCCTGGTGGTGGTGGCCGCCCAACAACCAGGTGTCGTGTCATTTAGGTGATTCCAGTGCAGACTCAAAGAAGAGAAGCACCAGATGACAGTGTTTCCATCCACACAGAAAACAGTGGTTAGTGTTCATAATTGGTTGTTAAAACACAACCTGAAAACACATCCCACTGCGACAATGATTACCGTTTGTTTCCCCCGTGAGCCATCCATTCTTTCACGACGGCCTGGAAGGTTTCCAGATTCATCTGCGGGTCTCTCTTCTCAGGATCGAGCATGTTCCACAGCTCCTCGAGGACACCCTCTTCAGAACCCTGACCAGCTGTTTGTCTCAGGTAATCCATTATTTTGGTGATTTCTACTGAGCCTTAGGAAGAAGAAAGGCAAGTTAGTTTTGAAAGATGGGGAGAGATTATTTTTTAAAAGTGAGGTGTTTAACTCTTTCAGGTCCCTTGGGTCCTGAAAACATGCCACACATAGCCCTCACAGTCCTGCTGGGTTGCCATCAGAGAGGAGAAAGAGCACTGGCTTTGGTTTAACAGACCAGGACCAAATCTTGGCTCTAGAATATCAACTGTGTGGCTCTGGGAAACCAACTCAATCCCTATGAGCCTCAGTTTCCTTATCTGTGAGATGGGGTGATGATACCTACGCCACACAGAGCTGTTGTGAGCTTGACATGGGAATGATACATGTGATCAATAATCACTTGTGAGAAGTGATCAAAATGCCACTTTTGTCTCATTCTTTCCTTAAAATGTATTTAGTGAAGGAGGTTTTGCCTCTGCCTTCGACGAAGTTTCAGTCTTAAGTAAGTAGTTTGACTTTTATTTGGGAGGGTGGGGTTAGAAGAACCATTCTTAGACAGTCCTACCACCGCATTCAGAAACTAACGTCCTACAGACCGTGTTAGTAATTAACACGGCCATCTCCTTCAAGCATGCGACATCTCTTTTACTCTTAACTAAGGCCAATGGGCTAGCTGCTTGAAGGGGAGAAGGAAAAGGAAGTAGAAGGTTGACAGGGCAGATGTGGGAGTAAAGAATCTTCCTCCAGGAGATAAGCAGAGACCTTAACATTAAAAAAAAAAAGTCTCATACATAATTAGAAAGAGGAGAGAGTTGTAAAGGAGACTGAAATTTTTGAAGAGAGTATTAACTTAATGGAAAATATCATTTGGCTGTGACAGGAAGAAATGGAAATAAAATTATTGTGTGTAGTTAGTTAGAGAGAGGATTTTTATTCCTGCTTGCAGTAGAATTAGGGAGTTGGAAAGTCAAAAAGAATAACTGTATCTCATTTTCCTCCACTAAAACTCTAAAACCTGGATCCTATACCTCAAAACTGAAAAGGTCTCCTGTGATAGTTTTTTCATGTGTCAAATTAACTGGACAGCTCCTTGGTCAAGCATTAGGCTGATAAGCACTACTCCTTTGGTGTGCTTAGATCTGGCTTGTGCAAACTGTCAATATTACATCATTTAATGTACAGCCCACTGTCTCAGAAATATTTAACTGTGCCTTGACCTTTAGCGGGTGAAACAAAGCTTTCTGAGAGGCTGTTCCCGAGTTATAATCCTCAATTTGGTTCAAGTAAAATCTTCCATATTTTTTTTTAGTGGGGAGGGAGGTAATTAGGTTTATTTACTTATGTATTTTTTAATGGCAGTACCAGGGTTTGAACCCACGACTTCAGGCATGCTAAGCATGCATTCTACCACTTGAGCTATACCCTCTCCCTTTCCATATCTTTTTCAGATTGATTGATTAATATTTTTGTTGAAATTACGAAGGAAAAATAGTATCTTTACAGTTGGGAAATTTGTCAGACACCACACTAATCAAGTGATCAAAGTTAAAAATCTGGATATATTGTACTAAGAAGAACATAACATCATTTGTGTAGTGTGGCTGTGAAAATGTACAACCTGAATTATCAAGAGGAAATATCAGATGTTCTATGAAGTAACCGGCCTATACTCCAAAAATTTCAAGGTCATAAAAGGTGAAAATTCTGAGAAACTCCTCCAGATTTAAGGAGATTAAAGAGTTGTGATAACTAAATACAAGGCGTGATTCTGAATTGGATCCTGGACCAGAAAACAAAAAAGCTATAGAGAATATTCTTGAGAGAATTGACAAAACTTGGATATAGACTTTTAACTGTATCAATGGTAAATATCCTAATTTTGACAATGGTTCTGTGGCCACTCAAGCCAATGTTCTTGTTTGTAGGAAATATACCCTGATATACTTAGGGCTAAAGAGGAACAGTGTTTCCAAGTTACTCTCAAGTGGTCAAAAACACAATCAAGCTTTTATCCTCCCTTTCCTTTGGGAAACAAGGTTCAGCATAGCCAAGCAGGGTAGTTTCTCTGTATAAATATTCCAGCTGATATGCAGGAAGGAATAATAAAATATCATCTTTAAAAAAATTTTTTTTCTTAATTCACTTTTTTTGGCAGGGAGGGGTGGTGGGTGGAATTAGGTTTATGTGTTTCTATTTTTAAGAAATGCTAAGCATGTGCTCTACCTCTGAGCTATAGCCTCCCCTTAGAATATGACCTTTTGCAACACCTAACAAAAGAATAAATCTAGGCCTCCAGCCTCAAATAGTCTTGTTTTCTGATAAAAATACATGTACCATCTATGCAGAATCTTGCCCAGAAAAGAAATAGAACTTACATCTGATCAAACCTCTAAATGTAGGGGACAGAGAAACTGGTTGGGTGTTGGCCACACAATCACCCAAACTCAGATTGGAGGAAACTATGAGATGTAAGAACTAGCTTCATTAACAAATAACTCCAAATACAGAAAAAGAGAGAGAACAGAAAGGGAACACAGAGATAAGCCAGACAACCAATCGCATTAAACAAACCTTTCCTGGATGCTGGTTTAAACCATTAAACTGTTTAAGAGAAA